AAGAAAAGGGGGCAAAAGTCAACTAGAGAGGTCGTCAAAGAAGCAGGGCGAATATAAAGTAATAGTAATGAAGGACAATAGAAGGAGCGCAGTGTACTGAGATAATACAAAAAAGTAGAAATAAGTAAGGAGAACAAAGAAAGTAAAAACTCCCACTTCCCCCACCGAACCATGTCCCAACCTGCTCTCACGAGAAGTGAGAAGTGGCGGAGCAAGAGAGGAGAATCGTCCCGCGCGCTCCTACGCCGGATCGATTTCGTATCCCGCGATGGACACGTCAAAGCTCTTTTGTGGCAGCGTGCAGACGGGCGGGTTGGGGTCGTGGTACGAGTTGTCAAAGGCGCGGCCGTCAAAGAAGCGCTTCGTCATGTCGTACGCCGACGCGGGCTGGAACATCGGCGTCTCGTGGCCGGCGTTGCGGATCACCGAGTAACAAAAGCGGCCGCCGAGCGCCGCGCAACGGCTGTAACCCACGGGCTGCCTTGAGTCCGGCGAACGCTTCCAGATCGTCCTTTTCTGCTCGTAGAAGTCCTCCTTCAGACCCGCCGCCTCCAGGCCCATGGTGATACCCGGCTCAGTGGTGTGCGGCCCCAGCAGGGCGTCCATGTTTGACGAGTAGATGTGAATGTCGAGCCCGGCGGGAAGCAGCTCCGTGAAGTACATCGGCGCAGTCTCCTGGCAGAAGTCGCCACTCTCGACGTACGCCTTGTAGATCGCCTTGCGCTTCGTAGTGAACCATCCGCCAAGGGAAGAGCCGTCGCTGATGTAATCCGCAGCGGGCGTGCCGTCAAAGTGCATGGCCTTGCTGTGGCGCGCGAGAAAGTCTTGATAGTTCCCCTGAGCGTCTCGCCCGCCGCCGACCAGGATGATGTCGGTGGCGGTGGAGCCGGTCAGCGTTTCGAAGAGGAAGTCGGGCGCACCGTCGAAGGCGCCATCGTCATTCCATACGGAGTTCCACTTGGCAAAGAAGGCCGGGCAGTTGTTGTCCTTGAGGTGCTCTCGCGAGCTGGCAAAGAGCTCGTCGATCTTCTCCGCCCCGTCCTTGTGGATCAAGCCCGTCGCCCACAGGTAGTCGCCGTAGTGTTTGGTTTGGACAGACCAGCCTAAGCATGGGTCCCCCACGCTGAGCCCCTTGAGGTTGATCTTGGCGTCGTCGGCCGCGGCCGCGTTGTGGGCGAGGACCGCCTTGGCAAACCACGGGCAGTAGTTGCCGGCATACGACTCGCCGGTGATCCAGAAAGGCGCCGGCTTGAGCTCAGGGAAGAGCTTGTATACTTGGAGGAGGATGGCGACCTGCTGCCTGGTTCCCTCTTCCGAATTCGCCCACTCTGTATCGAGGAGCGGCACGACCTCTCCCGCCTCGTCGACCTGGTACGAGAGTCCCGCCTGGATTGGGTTGTCGACGAACAGGCAGTCGTTGTCCAGGCACCACGAATAGCAACGGTCCTGAAGGAGCCCCTTGTCATCGACAAAGAAGTTGCCCATCTCGTTGAAGGCGGGGCCTTGCGACCCAGAACCGGGCCCGCCCGCAAAGTACTGCGTGAGGATCGCCTCGCCGTGCGTGCAGCCATTGCGGCACGGCTGATACCAAAACCACAGATGGTTGGTCCGCTTGCCGGATGCGCTGGCAACGGAGAGGTATCCAGCGTGGCCTTTGAACGCTCCATCAATCACGACTTTGGAGACCTCTCGGGCCTCGAGCGCCTTGCCCGCCTCAAGCATGGGAGTGAGCAGCAGCGGCGAGGGAGCATCGGGCGCGGGTGCAAAACAGTGGCACGGCGCCAGCCAGGCCGCGAACACGAACAGCGA